TCACTGATCAATGCCGCCTGCTGTTGAACCACCTGCATCCATTAAAGATATAGCACCCCCGGCAAAAGGGATATTAGTACTGTCGAATAGCACTAGTATGCATAGCTAAAAGTCCTCTTTCAAAATAGAATGCCCACATAAGAAAAGGCAACACATAGAAACAACAAGTCATAATCAACAATATCCAAATGTTCAGTTAAAACATAATAATTTTCAAAATACGAACTTTATATACAATTTTGGTTGGGAGATCATTAGCACCGATATACCACCGTCTTTGTTAGCACGGAGTCCGATCACGCCCGATCGGCTAGGCCATCTCCCCACGAACAATGTGGTTTGACATGTGATGCAAAAGAAAGTTGTTACCAAGAGTAGTATCGCCATATGCGCAATATGGCGTCTGATCTTCACCCGATCAGCTAGGCCGCCTTCCCACATATGTCATGCGGGTTGACTTTTCCAATCCACAAAGGTTCCAGTTTCATCCCAATTAAGGGGAATAATATCACAATTTCCCAAAGGTTCCAATTTCATCCCAAATAAGGGGAATAATCACAATCCACCCCTACACTAGCACACGTAGGTTCAGGTGTAGGCCTTATGACCCACCCTATCTCGGTTTTGCTAATGATGCTCCCAAAAACATTTTTGATTTGATTTGCAAATAGAAATATCATAAATACAATTGTACTCACCTCAACATCTTTCACATTGTATAAATTCTCATTAGTATTCCCAGTCATTTATAACGACAATATTTCCTTGGCTCATTAGGCNCTCATTCACAACGACCATATTTCCTTGGCTCATTAGGCCATTCACAAGATTCTTTATTCCTGGCACGATGGTCATATTTTATATTCTACACTTTCACCTCTTTCAATTTCAAAGATCACCATCAAATATCAACATATAGAAAATTTTAGAAATCATATACTTCCAATCCATTTGAAATGGAAACTTCAAACACAAATAGTTTCTTCCCAAAGAATGAGGCATACCATCCAACAATAGAAACACACATGAAAATCATAAACAATCAATACACCATTTATTCTTACAATGCTCTTCCCTAGCAATGACAATGTATCAGTTCAACACATGAGTATATAGAATCGAATCACACTAGATATATTTATAAAGCAAAGCATTAGTTAAAGCAACCACCATTGGGCATGAATTGAGTACAAAACCTTTTAGGTAATTCTATCTTCGAAGTCATTTTTAAACAATTGAGTCGAGGCTCATTTCATATTTTTTATCGCATCTTCTCAAATTATTTGCACTACTAGACACAATCATAACTTAGATTCTTGGTACGTTGGCTACACTCTATATCCCCAATTAACTTATTTCACTTCCAACCATCTTTATAGATTATCAACAATAAGACATTTCCAAATCAAGACTTTAGGTATACATATGAGCAATTAAAAGTCTTAAGAATATTGAAATTTTCTCACACAATTTGGCATACTATTTTTCATTGAAATACGACTCAAAGCCATAACCTTTTAATATGCAACCCATACTTTAAAACTTACAGAAACATTATGGAATTCAATTCCAAGAGAGAAAGTTTAGCCAACATACCTCAATCGAGCTTCCTTAACTCTAGAATGATTCGGAATTCTTATTAATCCCAATCTATTTTGAGACATAACAAAATTAAACCATAATTAGGAAGATATTCATGGTCTCAGCTCATTTGAGCATTTTATCAGACACTAGGTGTGCAAATTTAACCACAAGGTTCTTCTACAAGATTTCATTCACTCCACAACCCAATCCTTACTTATTTCAGCTCAACAATCTTCCCACAATTAATATTGGTACATGCATGTATAAATAATAATCTCATACCCATGAATCATACTCTAAATCAACCATCTTCTACCCAAATTCAAAATTGAAAACTAGGGTATGGAACCTTACCTCTTAGATGAAGAACTTGTGGGTTTTCCTTGTTAATATTCCAAGATTTGAGCAAGACTTGATGAATAATTAGCCTAGGGCTTCCTCTCTCTCTAAAACATCAGAATTTTTGCTCAAAAATAACCCTTTGCGTGTATTTAACGAAGTAGGGTCGGGTTGTAAGAACCCAAAAATGGAGCTCCGGAACAGTATCGGTCGCATAATTACAGACCAAAATGATCAAAAATATGTCCGTGTATGCGGTCACTATGCGGTCCGCATAACTGTTATGCGACCGCATAATGCACCGCATAACAGTTATGCGGTCGCATAGTCGACTGCATAATTGCCCCCAGACTGGCCCTTCTCCTGCTCACTTTTGCGGCCATTATGCGGCCCGTAGAGTGATTATGCGGTCGCATAGTCGACTGCATAATTGCCCCCAGACTGGCCCTTCTCCTGCTCACTTTTGCGGCCATTATGCGGCCCGTAGAGTGATTATGCGGTCGCATAATGGACCGCATAAATGCACTTTTCCGCCAAAAATTTTTCTTTACTTTTCGGTGCATTGTTCAACCCAAAAAGTCCGAACCGCGGCTTGCAAGTTTGCCGCGAAGATCTTATACCATCCTCAAACACGTAAGCCTATTCTGGCACCACGAAACCTTGAATTCACTTGCGAAATTTACGGGGCTTTACACTGAAATGCTTTAAAAATTTTCGGGATGTTACAATAAGGTACAGGTAAGGCCAAGGGTGCACATAGAGAAGATATGCACAATCATTTTAAACAACTAACGGTTTAGCATATAGAGAAGATATGCACAAAAAGGTATGTATACATACTGAAACTACCGTATAGAGAATATATGCAATAAAATCATGTATACATCCAAGTAGTTAACATAAAGAGAAGATATTCGATAACCCAAACACTGATCAGTTTCTATAATCTGTGTGTATGCCATCAAGAGAGAAACATGAGAGGGAGACCCTAGGGGGTGGATCCTTATTCACACGCTACACGGACAACTCACGTGCCATAATTACAATTACTGCACAGACAACTCATGTGTCATGATCATAACAGTCGCACGAAATACTAACGTGCCACATCAAAGAAACTGCACGGACAACTCATGTGCCAAATCATAATGACTGTACGGACAACTCACGTGCTGTCAAACCAGTCCATATTATAGAAAACATACATAAGAAAATACGTATACGAACAACGAATATCAAATCATATACTCATAAACTAAGGAAATAGGATGTTAAAATGTATGCATGTGCGAAGTGTACAACTACGAATTAGATTAGGCGGGTACGCCAAACAATAACAAGCATCATGATCAACAGGGAATCAAGGCCTACTCATGGTTTCGTACATTATTCAAGAATTTCTCTTAGTCATACAGACAATTAAAATATGAATCATAGGAAGCACACAGTCCAAACAAGGCATATTAGAGACCTAAAGTCTAATCTAATCAAAAATCATACATAACGCCCGCATATACACCCGTCACCTCGCATATACGTCGCTTTTCACACATTCAATTAGCCAAATAAGGTCACATCCTAAGGTTTATTCCCTCACAACAAGATTACGCAAGATACTTACCTCAAACGAGCAATATCAATATTCCAAGAATGCCTTTCCTTTAGAAATCTCCTCCAACCGGCTCAAATCAGCCAAAAATAACTCAATAATGTCAAAAAGAAAAGCCATAGGAATCACTTCTAAACAATAATGCTTTAATCTTTATTTAATTCTCAAAAAGTCAACAAAGGTCAACCTGAACCCACATTGGTCAAAACCCGAGTTACACTCACGCATCTTCCGTATGCATAGGAATTGTTAGCTGATTGTTGGGCACTTAGAGAGTGTCAGGTTTGATGTACATATTGAGACTTTATCATGCATTTTGACACTTAGACTCATGATAGAGCATTAGTATATGCTATTTGAAAATTTGTGAGAAAATGAATCTCTATCATGCATAGTCCCTTTTGTGATCATGTAGAAGTACTTGAATAAAAGCTACTTGATGCAAATTGTATTAATATGTGGATGTGGCGCATTTGTACATGCTTGATGTGGTTATTTGAAAGCATGCCTATTGCCTTCTCCTCAATTTGTGCACGTTATTATTGATACTTGTTGTTTCTTTGTTTGTTTCATGGATATTCCTCTGTTATTATATATGCTATTGAGCTATACATGTCATATAGAGTGAGTATTTTTTGACTAAACCTCGTCACTACTCGTTGAGGTTAGTATTGATATTTACTGAGAAAATAGGGTCGGTTGTAGTCATATTACACTTCTACAGCTTGCATGCAGATTTTGGAACTGAGCAGTTGTGGAAGACGGAGTCAAGCTTTTAAGATGTACTAGTGTTCCAGTTGCAAGCTACCATTTAGTTCATGGTAGTTTAGGACTTGTACTTCTATTTATGCATATCTAAACAAATATTGTATTTTCTTTGTACCAACATTGTGAATATAAGTATTAGTGGCTCATGACTCACACAACCAGTACTTGGGATAGTTGTAATGATTTTTGCATTCTTATTTTATTATTCATTTGATGATTTTCCTTTCGAGTTGTGTTATATGCTATTTGGCTGGGTTAAGTTCTATCACGATATTGTTGGAATTTTGGGTCGTGATACCTTCGATCGGTAAAAGTACGTTTAGGAACAATGAGTTTAGCACTCCATGAGGATCTGCTGAAGATTCAATAAAATATCAGAAACTATGGGCTATGGCCATGAAAATATCAAGGCAAAGACCATGAGAAGTTTTATAGAATTTTTGTTGGCGAGGTGGATGAAAGCGTACTTATTCATGATTATAAATAGCAGTATTGAATTCTTTTTGACTCAAGTATCTCTGTTGGCTAATACAAATGCAACCACGGGCATTGTGTTACGAAGCATGTGTTGGTGTCATACCATTTATTTGCAGGTAGTAGCTTTTTTGAAGTTTGAATAGACATTCATTTAAATTCGTTTTGAAACACGGACACTGAAATGGGCCTGCAGAAATGCCATCGTCTTGCGTCAAAGCTCCAGTAGAATATAAACTCATTGGCAAAATTATCAGGAGACAATTGAGTTTGGTTCATTTCTATCGGATAGCAACAACACAAAAACTGTCCATCCGGTAGCAGAATATAAAAGAGGACCAAAACCATTCAATAAACCTATTTTTTGAGAGTAATGACTTCTTTTTTGGAAAAACAAAAAGTAGTATGCAAATAATCGATCTCCGTTGAACCAGATTCTGATGTTTATTGCGCATTTAACAAATGAACAAGAACATACATGCTCACTTCCAATTCGAGAAACATTTCACCGCAGGGGCTGCTGGTTGTAATGGCTCTTCTCCTTTTTCTTTGCAGCAGCTAGCCTTGCATTCCTTGCTGCAGCCTCACTAGCCGCAGCTTTGGCGGCGGCATCTACCTCCTTGCTTGATTTTTTCTTCTTGAGAGATGCCACTTTCTTTATCTTGTCCTTCACAAGAGAAGTAGATGCATCTTCTCCCTTGTCGGTCTCATTGGTCCCATTTGCAGCCTCAACACCATTGGCTTGATCATGTTGCTCCTTGGACTCCTTTGATGATTTGTCCTTCTTCTTCTTCTTCTTTGCACTCTTGCTCTCCCCTGGAGCATTATCATCCTTCTTAGCCATCTCTCCATTGGGTTTTTCCACCTTCTTATCCTGTGCAGCACCTGCATGTGGAATGCAGCACCAAGTCACATTGGAATAGTCAATGCATAATGCAAACTGCATAGAGAAATAGCGAAAGCTAACACAGATACACATTCCAATCCATAATATATTTTTATTAAGATAGAAAATTTGCCACAATATTAGAGTTCCGCATATTAGAAAAAGCATCACAAATGATCACATGTTCCAATTATCAAATATGTACACAACAACTTTCAAGGCTCACCAGAAGATAAACATGCTTTGATTCAGGGAGTTGGAAGCAAGAACGAGAGAAGGGAAAGAACAAACGCCAGATGACTTAATAGATAAAGCTCACCATGGCCAAAACAAACCCTTGTATTATTTTAAATAAAAAAAAAAGGGNCACATTCCAATCCATAATATATTTTTATTAAGATAGAAAATTTGCCACAATATTAGAGTTCCAACTTTCAGGCTCAGCAGAAGATAAACATTCTTTGATTCAGGGAGTTGGAAGCAAGAACGAGAGAAGGAAAAGAACAAACGCCAGATGACTTAATCGATAAAGCTCACCATGGACAAAACAAGTCCTTCTTGTATTATTTTTTAAAAATGAAAGGGGGAATTAATGCAGGGGCTAGAGGGTATTTGCTGGGCAATGCCACAAGCCACATTGGAGAAAGTTGGAACAGGGTTGGCTGTATGCATTGAAAGAAAACTCAGCATATTTGAAGGCGAAAAGGAAAATACAAGTAGCCTTAAATATAGGTCCATCCTTTGCTATCTTTTTGGAACAGTCAGAGCTTTGTAAATGAGCTCCTAATTGGACACAAGTCAAACAACACATACCATACTTGCTTCTTGCAAATCCATTTGCGAGAATAAGGATAGCCTTTACTTTTATGTCATCCCTTTCTGTTCTCATATCTTAATGCACGTATTTAATTTTTTTCCTCTTTTCATAACAATGCACGCATTTAATCCGTGTATTTAATTCAACCGAAGCTATTAGAGCAGGATCCACTTTTCAGGAACCATGAGTCAAAGCACTAGAGATGTCTCTCAGTTCTTCCTACACATGATAGTAATTTCACTCTTAACAAATATAGATGCAGGAAAGACAGCAGTACAATGAATACAAATCAGAAGTGGATAAATTGTGCGGATTTTTCCTGCGGTAGCAAGGCATGAAGGGAATGATAACAGTACAAAGAGAAATACAGGCAGTTCACGAAATTGTACGAATTTCTCATGGAAAAATAATTGCTAAACAATGGCCTCTCCAGTTTTCCCTTTTGGTGAAAGAGGCAAAGTTCTAGTTGTATATACATAAACAAATTACCTTGTGAATCATCATTGCTCTCAGCTTTGTTTAATCCAAATTCAGCAAGCATAGCTTCAAGCTCAGCAAGTTCCTTTTTCTTAAGTTCCTTCTTTGAAAGCTGCCTTTCCGACTCTTTGGGTGCCACTATTTCAGCAGGCTTCTTAACAATTGGCTCCTTCTCCTCTGGCACATCAGGTTCTTGCTCATGTTCTTCCTCATTATCATCATCTGCTTCATCAATGCCTTCGCCTTCACTTTCACTTTCCTGATATGAACAGATTACAAGACTTAATGCAGATAAACAGTTAAACTAGTGAAACAAAAGAATGAAAAATAAATCTACATTTGTAAGACACTATAATTTGATCACCAACAAATAAAAATATACTTTTATAGAAAGAAAGAGGGAAAATAGCATATAGGGAGAGAGCAGAAAAGTTTTGTTATACCAAACTCTTTCGTTGTTCCAAACTCATAACAAAATAAGCAAGACATGAAATTGGTTTTGTGAAGCAACTGCAGAACTAAGTGTGGCCATCTTTAAAGAGATGTCAGGGAATAAATTTCAGTTAAAGAAACACTAACTAGTTATTGATAATCCTTCAAAAATGTCTCAGTCGGAAATGAACCACTGGCAACATGAAAGAAAAAAGCAAGAACAAGAATTTTATTCAAAAAAGCAAATACAACGAAAAGTAATTTATCAATCAAAAGCTCGTTTGGAAGCATAATATAAGGTAATAATCCATCAAAAGAACAGAATAGGAGAGCAAGAAAGAGTGAGGGAGACAGCAACAGGAAAGAAAGCCAAGGAAAAAGAATGCAGGCAAAAATCATAAAATCCTTGGGCCCTCACAAAAAGCCTAGAGTACGCTCTAAAAATTGTACACAGAAGATCCAATTTTTTATAATGATGATTGCGAGCCAGCTTGCTTGCACCTCGAGTATTCAACCGAGTACCTGCTACCTCGCACCAGCACAGTAACAAATAACCCAGCGTTTTTTGTCACTTCTGGGATCTGAACCGTGATATCCAAGGTTTGGAGCCACTTCTTTGACCGCTAGGTCGTACCCTTGGATACCATAAAATCCAATTTATATTATTGAGAAAATAAAAGATATGCTAGGTAAAGGATAAATTGACCAAGCTTTCAAATGAAAATGGACTTTAGATTTGTTTTTCAAGGCCATCAGATATTGCCTATATAATCAAGAAAGTGACACTGAAATGTGGAAACTGCTTTTTTTCAATAAGAAAAAGGCTATTAATATTCAGCACCATACAGTGTAAACTATCCAACCCCAATGGGTTATATTGGTTTGCAAGTCAAGATTAAAATACATAGCTTTCAAATAGTTACTAGCGCATATACATTTTTGTAATTGGCGTATAACATAAATTACAATTGGACTTGAAATCGTCTTCAGTCAACACCATGTTATCAGTGTACAGTAGTTAACATCGTACAAACCCTATTGTGCAACATCTGCTTCTACTTGTTTCCTGTGATTTACTTCTAGAAGGGTAACTGTCATCTCAACTGTCGAGTTAAGGCCTATAATCTGGATATACAGCTAAAGAATCTAATCTTATCAAGAAATAATTAATGAAAAATCCAGAACACAGAGAGATATAGGTGCAACATCTGATACAAGTAAAATTGACTGAAGACACTCCATAATGTGGATCTAAGAAAGATAACTGTGAAATCAAATAGTACAAGATAATTTTATACACCAGAGGCAGAGACAAATGCAGGAACAAGCAAAAAGTGTCCATGGACCATTAGCAAACAAACTAAGATAGAGTAAAAGAAAACTAAAAGATAAGAGATATGAAATTAACTGCATTGAGGAATATCAATAATGCATTCAAAGCCAGTAAAAATCTCTATACCAAACAAAAAAGAAAATGAGTAGAGCTAAGCCATTATCCTTCAGGGATCACTGATAATGTGATTCCAGTTGACCTTACTGACCAGAGAAATTATTTTGACTTCATATGCAGCTGAACACTCCCAAATAAATTCACACACAAAATTATACGACCATATGGGCAAATTAGAATGGTCAAATCAACTCAATACTACCAGCATACAGTCACCAAAAGCACCTTATAACTCTAAAAGAAGAAAAAAACACTAACAATAAAAGCTTTAAACCAAGAATTCACACCTCCACATCAAGAGTTACACTTTCCTTTGGCGTGTCAGTAGCAGCCCAAACAACCTGGGGCGGGGCCGTAGTAGCATAATAATCATCATCGTCTTCATCATCAACATCTGCCCATGATTTCACAGTCAATGGTGCCGGAGCCCAGAAAACGGCCTCAGATTCCTTATCAGCCTGCTTCTTCACATTTTTGGAAGATGAACCCTCAGTGCTCTTCCCCTTATCAGACTTCTTCTTCTTCCTTAGGGTTCCAAGTGCCGCAAATACGTTATTGTTGCTTATCACCAACTGTTCGTCCTTCCTGTTTCCACCTCCCACCATCTTTTTTATTTTTTCCTTCCAACTTCAAAACAAGAAAAAACCCAACAACGTACGTTTGTCTAATGCTATGTTCCAAAAGTCTATCACTCTATGTATACACAAGACAATTGTAGATAAAATGCTGAAAAATCTAGCTTCTTTCAGACAGATAAAATTGATGGTTCTTAGGAAAATTTGAGAAAAGACCCAGATGGGTTTTCGAAAAATCGAAAAGATTTATATGATCTGATCGGGTTAAAGATAATTTTCCGAGAATGATTTTCTGGAGAAGATGGTGGATCCAACAAAATTTATAGGGGATGGTCGGTTAAGGTTAATTTAGGGTTTGGCTGAGAGCACAAGGGTGTGGCTGAACCTGACGAGGGGAGGAATACGGATTGTGTTTTTTTAACTAATATAGCAGTGGAAGATTACAAACAAATTTTGTTTGTGTTTTTTGGTCATGGGTAGAAAGTCTTCTGGACCAGTTTTTGTTGGGGCATGGGGCAATTTTGAGTTTGGGAAAAATCAAAACAATTTTTTTCTCAGTTAAAGTTTACTTGGTAGTGCTTTATGTAAAATGTATGTAATTTGAAGGGATCGTTTGGTTTGAGACCACTTGGTAGCAACTGAAATATAATAATTGTAATACAAGAATTAGTATGTGTGTTTATCCTTAAAACGGATAACAATTAAATTTATACACGGTTTTAAGGATATGTGGATTGATTCAACACAAATAATCAGGGATGTTAGATGAACGAATTAAAGACGAAATGAACAACCAAACCAATTGTAATGCTAAGGCCCGGCTCGAGCTTAGGTTTAGTTTTACCCTCGATCGGACCCTTGGTTCCAAGCCAATTATGAATGAAGAACAAACAGTAAAGTAAGGACTTTGCAATAGCAAGAAAGTAGAAAAATGAATTTGTATTGCCTTGATTTGCGTGTTACAATGTGTGTTATCAAACAAAAACTTTCGCTTTATATAGTAGGAGAGTTTCATTCCTAGTACAAGTCTAAAAACGTAAAAATCCCCCTCTCTCGTTAATTACTTATCTGTAACCATCATCGAGCGAGATCCGCGTCGTGATATCCGGTTGGTTGCGGATATCACGGCCCTCTATCTATCACCTATAACCGTTCATTGTGCTCTCTGAAGTCTCAGAACTCGTCCCGAGTCCGGGGTGCGTCATTTTATCAGGTCCGATGGCGAGCACTTCGTTCACTTTTTGCGGGCCTCGATACAAAGAGTTCCCAGCTTCGATTTCGATCTCATATATTCATGCTCTTACTTTGTTTGATTCACCGGAAAATCGAGGTGTGCATTATCCCCGATTTTACCCGTATACAGATAGTCCCCTCGTTTTTCAGAGAGTAGGTTTGGCGAAACAATGGGAAACAAAAAATGAACCCCCGGTTCCTTCCTTCGTACGTTACAACCGAGGTGAAGGATAAGCCGAAAGTCCCATCAGTCGCGTCGTTCTACTTCGGACATGTGTCAGTCATTGGCTGGCTGCGTTCGAATGTGAAATGTCGCGCATTGACTATTTCCCCCCTATAAAAGCTTCGACCTTTTGCATTTCTTCCACTTTCCGATCCTAGAATTTACTTTCGAATTTTCTAACGGCTTTCAACTTTTTCAAATCTTCATACCCTACTTCTCGAGCCTTCATACCTTCATCTCTGATCTTCAAACCTTCATATTTGTTCTTGGATTTCCAACCCAGATCTTCATCCCATCTTCAAACCTTCATTCTCTTTCTTCAAATTTTCATATTTTTCCTTTGAACCTTCATATTTTTCCTTCGAATCTTCATATTTCCCTTCAAATCTTCATATTTTCCCAAATCACGATGGCTACAACTTCTAAGTCAGTGCCTCAGCAGGCTGCCTCTTCATCTTCCCACCCGGTCGCAGATGTCGAGGTGGCCATTCCCGAGGTGGCTCCAGAGCCCCCCATGAAGAGCTTCGTACCCGGGGGCTGCTCTATCGGGGATGACTTCAAGGTCGAGAAGGTCTCTAGCCAACAAGACTGAGGTGAGGGAGCATGGAGATACATATGTTCTGTCACCGAAGAAACCCTACTCGTAGTCCGAGCGGACTGTAACTGGGAGTGTAAGGACGTGGTCATCCCCGGACCCAACGACGATATAACTACTCATGTGAAGGGGTATCTGAGTATTTACACTTACCCCTTCACGATGCCTTAGCATAGAGTCAGATGTCATTCTGGGGCATTCATTTTTCGGAGGTTCGAACGAAGCCCGACTTCGATGTAACTTTGTTTGCTCGTGGCTTCGGACCCATGGTGAGATCAGAGGTTTCCAAGATGCTTAAGTATTTTTAGACGATGTTTTTGCCGAGGGTAACCATTTAGTAGGTTTTGAATTTTCGTAAAGGCCTTACTTTCTGATTACGGGTTGTGGGCATCTCCGAGCTATTTTTAGGGTGATCGTAGCCTTTATATATTTAGGCACCGCCTAATAGGTTTGGCGCCTCCCGGATTCGGTAGCCCGGGTCGTCCAAATTTTCTTCGAGCGACAGTCCCCGAGTAGGGGTAGCCCATGGGTTCGATAGTCCCTGAGTAGGGATAGCTCATGGGCTCGATAGTCCCCGAGTAGGGGTAGCCTATGGGCTCTAGGATCCGGGATTGAAGAAGCAAAACGCGTAATAGCAAAGTGGAAATTTCTTTCATTTCTAAGTATGCAAGGTACACGATCGAAAGTGCATAAAAACTTGTGCCATGGCTAGAGTGGACTATGTGGGCATGGTTCATATGACCGTTTGGCCCTTACAATGAATCCTAACCACCAAGCCTTAGCTTTTAGTACACGAAGTTTCCTTTTTCCCTTGCTAAAGACCTTAATCCGAGGGTAATGGCACACAGTATTCGAGGTCGAACTCGTGAGGGCTCGGATACTATTGACCGGAAGTGAACGATCGTTGACACCGGTTTGAGATAGGTCATTGAATCTAAGTTAGGACGTTTTGCTGTTGCCTCTTTAAAAACCTTGCCGAAAAGCCCATTTTGGGACAAAACCGGTTCAAGGGAAAAAGAGTGCAACGCATGCTTTCAGACCTAATAGCCACATCCATCCTTGGCCGTTTACCTGCAAATGTTAGCCCGATTCATAACATGATTAAAGAGTAATTGAGTTTGTACCTTAGCAGTAGTACCGCTTTAAGCGTGCCACATTCCAGTTGTTCGGTAATTGCATGCCATTTTCCTCTTCGAGTTTGTACGAGCCTTTGCCGGTTATTCCGACAAATCGATATGGTTCTTCTTAATTTGGTCCCAGCTTCCCCTCGTTCGGGTTCCTGGTGTGGAATGCTACTTTCCTCAACACCAAGTCCCCGACTTGAAAGTGTCGGAGGCTGGCTCTTCGGTTGTAATACTTTTCTATTCACTATTTCTGGGCGGCCAACTGGACCAAGGCGGCCTCCCGCCTTTCATCCAATAGTTCCAAGCTCGTGATCATGGCCTCGCCGTTTGGCTCTTCTGTCATATATTGGAATCTGAAGCTTGGTTCTCCCACCTCGACTGGTATTAAGGCTTCGGCTCCATAGACCAATGAAAATGGGGTGGCCCCAGTGCTAGATTTTGAAGTCGTATGGTATGCCCATAGGTCTTCGAGCAGGATCTCTTTCCATTTGCCTTTCGCATCGGTCAACCTCTTTTTTAGGTTTTGAAGTATGGTCTTGTTTGTTGATTCTGCCTGCCCGCTCCCACTAGGGTGGTAAGGTGTTTATAGTATCTTCTTGATCTTGTGATCTTCGAAAATTTATTTACCTTACTGCCGATGAATTATTTTCCATTATTGCAAACGACCTCGGCCGGTATCCTAAACCGACATATTATGTGGTCCCTGATGAAGTCAATGACTTCTTTCTCCCGGACCTTTTTGAATGCTTGAGCCTTGACCCATTTAGAAAAATAATCGGGAATAGTATGAATTGAGCTTTATCGGGTGGCCACAGTAGGGGATCGACGATGTCCATTCCCCACTTCATAAATGGCCACGGGGACAAAATTGAGTAGAGCATTTCTCCCAGTTGATGGATCATCGGGGCGTATCTCTGGCAGTCATCACACTTCTGTACGAAGTCCTTCGCATCTTTTTACATTGTGGTCCAGTAATAGCCGGCCCTGATTAGTTTTTGAACCAAAGATTCTGCCCCCGAATGGTTTCCGCAAGTGCCTTCGTGAACTTCTCTCAAGGCGTATTTGGTCTCTCACGGTCCCAAGCATCTGGCTAGCGGGCTGTCGAAGGTTCTCCTGAACAACGCCCCTTCGACCAAGCTAAATCTGGCAGCCTTGGTATGCAGGGCTCTCGATTCTGTGGGATCCGAGGGCAATTTTCCGGTCTTCAAGTAGTCTATGTACTTGTTTCTCCAGTCCCAAGTTAAACTCGTTGAGTTTACTTCGGTGTGGCCTTCTTCTATCATTGACTTCATGAGCTGCACTACTGTTCCTGAATTGAATTTGTCGGCGTCGACCGACGACCCTAAGTTAGCTAAAGCATTAGCCTCGTTGTTCTGATCTAAGGGTACGTGTTGTAGAGTCCATTCCCTAAATTGATGCAACATTACCTTTAATTTGTCTAAGTATCTTTGCATCCATTCTTTCTTTACTTCGAACGTCCTGTTAACTTGATTGACCACGAGGAGGGAGTCACACTTAGCTTCGATTACCTCGGCCCCAAGGCTTTTAGCCAATTCTACACCTACAATTATGGCATTATACTCGGCCTCATTGTTAGTTAATTTCACTGTTCTGATAGATTGCCTAATTATATTTCCCGTAGGCGGTTTCAATACGATGCGAGCCCGGACCCCTTCGCGTTCGAGGCACCGTCCGTGAAAAAGGTCCAGATTCCCAAAGTGGTCCTCGAGGTTAGCAGTAATTCCCTTTCGACTTCGGGTATTAAGGCCGGCATAAAGTCGGCCACGAAGTCTGCCAAAATCTGAGATTTTATGGCGGTTCGGAGTCGATACTCGATATCGTACCCGCTGATTTAAACGACCCATTTGGCCAACCGGCCCGAGAGCTCGGGTTTGTGCATGATGTTCCTCAACGGGTAAGAGGTCACTACACATATATGGTGGCATTGAAAGTACGACTTTAGCTTTCTTGAGGCGCTTAGCAAAGCGAGCGCCAATTTTTCCATGTGAGGATACCTTGTTTCGGCCTCGCCTAGAGTTCTAATGACATAGTAAATAGGAAATTGCGTACCTTCTTCCTCCCGGATTAAGACTCCACTTACCGCCACCTCGAAAAATGCCAAGTAAAGGTACAATTGTTTGTCCGCCTCCGGAGTGTGGAGAAGGGGCGGACTCGATAGGTACCGTTTGAGTTCTTCCAAAGCTTGCTGGCATTCTGGAGTCCAGTAAAAGTTATTCTTCTTCTTTAACAGTGAGAAG